AAAAAAAAAAAAAAAAATGAAAACAGAATCAAATGACCTGAATTATACTCATCTAATTAACCTACTCAGAGCTAATGCTGGCCCTGTTATTCTTAACACAGGAAATCCCATCACATATGAACATTCAGTCCCATATCAGTATACTTGACTTCATGTTCAACCACACATTTAAAAAGTCAGACATTATTTCAGATGAGTGACTTCTCTTTCAAACACACACACATTATTCAGCCTGAGTGATTATTATAGATTATATGTTCTTCACCACTCTCAGACACTACTGTGCTAAATTCAAAGATTAATGAGGTCCAGGCACACAAAATTCACACATCAGGACAGACATTTCCAACACTCTAACTCATTTCTCACATTCATTTCTTCTTCATATGAATCAGACATATACTTTGATTTATAGCTGTGATTAAAAATAAAGATGCTGTGCACACTCCAAACTCTGCTTCGGCCCTCTTCTACATATAAAGCTGGATGGACCGTTTAGCCGCTCTCAGATGTGCTGACAGGCAGGCTGAGGGGACTTCAGCCTGCCTCGTTCCACTTTCTTTGACTCAAAACGAGCTTTTGCATTGACATTGTAATTTCGTTTGTTAGTTTCGTTTCCCTGCCCTGCAGAAACCCTGCTGCGGTTCTCACAACTGGGTTCATGAAAATTGTTATTATTATTATTGTTGTCATTGTTGTTATTATTATTAATTATTAATGTTATTGTTGTGTTTTTCAGCACTTCATTACTTTGATGTTATTTAAAAAATATGTGAACAAACATGTGATGAGAAAATGAAATAATGATATACCTCATAAAAATCTACCGTATTTCACTGGGCTCCACAGATCAGGCCAGACTGATGAATCTCTTTATACAAGTGCAGCAGCTATGACTGTCACTATGACAGAAGTCAGGCTGATTTCATTTACAACTGCAGCCGCTTTGGCAGCTGTAGTTGCTGTTGGAGCAGCTGTAGTTGCTGTTGGAGCAGCTGTAGTTGCTGTTGGAGCAGTTGTAGTTGTTGTTGGCGAAGTTGTCGTTGTTGTTTCTGCAGTTGCTGCAGTTATAGTTGTTGTTGGAACAGCTGTAGTTGTTGTTGCTGCAGTTGCTGCAGTTGTAGTTGTTGCAGCTGTAGTTGTTGCTGCAGTTGTGGCTGTTGTTGCTGCAGTTGCTGCAGTTGTAGTTGTGTTTGTAGCAGCTGTAGTTGTTGCTGCAGTTG